CCTGTTTAGGGTTTAGGGTTTGGGGTTTGGGTTTAGGGTTTAGGGTTTGGGGTTTGGGGTTTGGGGTTTAGGGTCTGGGGTTTAGGGTTTAGGGTTCTTGAACTCCTTTTTGGGCCTGCCCGATCCACCAAGCAAATACAAGGCGTTTAGTTTAGGGTTTTGGGTTTGGGGTTTAGGGTTTGGGGTCTGGGGTTGGAGGTCTTGGGGTTCTATAGGGCTCAGGGTTTAGAGGGTTTAGTTCTTGAATCGGGGCGCAATAGGCTTCTTTACGGTTTTTTCTTACGGGCTCATGGGGCTTCTTTACGGGATGTCGACTACCAGGGTTGCCTTTTCGAAGGTCCTTGTGATCAGGATCCTTCCCTTGAAGGTCTACAGAAGGGACATCGACCCAGACCCCCCGGGACGATCCAAAAAATCCGCTAATTTGGGACCCTAACTACTAAAGGGCACTTTATAGGAACCCCGTTAAGGGATGTACCTGTTCGGATCCTCCCGGGAATCTGGGTACCAGGTCCGTCTTGAAAGCTCGGGGCAGCGAGTTCTGGCGTCTGGGAGTTAAGGGTTCATGGGTTTAGGGTTTAGGGTAGCCACTTCTAGTGGAGGAGCGTATGAAGGCTCTTAAAAAGGGTTTAGGGTTTAGGGATTTTCATAAGGCGCGGCCCTTGCATATGAGGGGTTCTTCGAATTTAGGTGACCGGTTTGGTAGTCATATACAACATTTCTTGAGAACAGACTGCGTTCAAACCATTCATGAGGGTTCTGGATTTCGCGCGCTGCCCTTGTGACGATCACCATCACAATTTCATGAGCCCTCATGCTCACGATGGCCAGCAGCATGAAACCCTAAACCCTAAACCCCCTAAACCCTAAACCCTCACCCTTATCCTTGAAATCGCTGTCGAAAGCACTCTGCGGCTCATTAACAGTAGCGGCATCGTTGCCACTGTCCTCTTGGCAGTCCCGAGCCCTTTTCTCGACATGTTTTAGGGCCCTAAACCCCTAAACCCCTAAACCCCTAAACCCTTAAACCCTTAAACCCAAAAACCCAAAAACCCCTAAACCCCTAAACCCAAAACCCTAAACCCTAAACCCTGAACCCTAAACCCCTAAACCCTAAACCCAAAACCCTAAACAAGCCATGCTGGGAACCCAGCTGCCGCCCCTTGGAGCACCGCTTCAGCACCTGCACGCGCCAGCGTCTCTTTGGGGCTTCGCTGCTTCCGGGGCGTGACTGCTGCGATCGAAGCCTGATTAGGGCTTCGGGGGTTTAGGGTTAAGGGTTTAGGGTTTAGGGTTTAAGGTTTTAGGGTTAAGGGTTTAGGGGTTTAGGGTTTAGGGGTTTAGGGTTACCTACCGTCTCTATTGTAGTTCCATTTTTGAGGGCCACTTTCCACATTATAGGATCCTAGCCTTATGCATGGTTAACCAAGACTAGTGCGCTGGAGACTCTAGGCAGGCTTCGTTGTCTTCGAGAAGACAGAGGGGCATACTTGACAGATTCTTCGGGCCTTGTAGCTTCTCGAGATTCGGCCCATATCTTCTGCCAGTGGCGTCCCAATACTCCTTTAAGCAATGGAACTCCTTATGAAGTCAGGGGGTTTAGGGTTTAGGGTTTAGGGTCCTTGAAGTCAGGGGGTTTTTAGGGTGTAGGGCAGTAGTTGTACATGGCTTCAGTTGCAACATGGACACGCCTCGTCAAGAAAGCCCAAGCCCCTGCAACCTGAACGAAGATCGAGGCTAGAGGGATGAAACTTGTCTTAGGGTTTAGCGGTTTAGGGTTTAGGGTTTAGGGGTTTAGGGTTTAGCCTTTATGGCAAAGCAGGCGAGTTCGACGGCGCATGACGGCAGGCCAAAGGAATTTCTCGAAATCCGTAAACCGCCGAATTAACAGAACGTAAACAACCTTAAACCCTACCTGAAACACACTCAGGTCCGAGTCTACACTCTACGCCCCTAAGCCCTAACCTTGGAGAACATCGAGGTGTTGGGGTTCAGGGTTTAGGGCTTAGGATTAGGGTTTAGCAATTTAGGGCTTAGGGTTTAGGGCTTGGGGTTTATGGTTTAGGGCCCGGCTTAGGAATTTCCTCAAGGTGTGGGTCCCTGAGTATCGACTGGAACGGAACGATTGGACCCAAACGGTTCGACCGCGTTCGCGCTTTGAGACGATGCCAGGGGTGTCTGCGCTGATGGACTGTGGGGTGTGGACTGCAGGGTTTAGGGTTTAGGGTTTACGGTTTTAGGGTTTAGGGGTGGGCGAATTACGACATTTACGAGAACTGACTCAAGTTTTGACATGCCGGACACTGGCGCGGGCTGCGATGCTTGAGCAGCACCCCACGTCACCTGTCATATCAGCCCCGGTAATATTTCCTCCGGAGACCTGTAATACGAACACCCTAGACAGCTCGGAGCTTCGGATTCGGGCCAACATCGAAAGCACGACATGCTAAGCTGCTAAACATTACCTGTAGTCTCCTTTTTTCAGGTTACCTTATAGGATCCGAACCCTAACTATAAAAATGGTGTAACCAAAAAGGAACTACAATGGAGACTATAGGTAATTGCAGCCCGAAGCCCTCAAACCATACCCCGAACCATCAAACACCGACTCCCAAATGCATCCAAGCCCCTAAACCCTAAACAAACCCCTAAACCCCTAAACCCTAAACCCAACACCCAACACCCAAAACCGAACCCTCAACCCTCATGCCCTGAACCTTTAAACCTCTCATTAAACCCCTAACTGGCGGATCTCCATTAAACTTAATGAACCCTCAACCTCAGGGCTTTTTGTTGAACTGCTTCGGGTCTCTCCGCTTTCTTGCTCAAGGGTTTAGGGTTCGAGCTTGCTTTTGTTTTGTGAGTTCGGTATGTAGGGGTTTTGGGGTTTAGGCTTAAGGTCTCAAGAGCCTCAAAGCTTCTCGGCCTCCAAACACTCCTGTCGGAAGCCCATCTCCAAGAGCCTTGTTTAGGGGTTAGGGTAGGGCTGATGGTCTTATCCATAGGCTCCAAAGTAGTTCTTTTTGTGGTTTCTATTTAGGATCGTATAAGGTAACTACTATGGAGCCTATGGGTAGGGTTTAGGATCGGTTTAGGGTTTTGGGTTGATGATGTAAACCCTGCATTTCCGTAAGGACCCGAAGCCCATGGGAATTCTGGTATATTTCCTTATGATGGGTGATGCAGGATGTATATCATCAACCGTATCATGCGGGGGTCCATTCCCCCCTCTCCCGTCCCGAGAGAGCCGTCGGGTTTCTTGTGGGATTGCTTTCGGATTCTTCTGCACGGATTCTACAAGGGTACCTAACCCTAAGACTCCAAGTATACAAACAGTACCTACTTTGGGGTCTAAAGTCTATATATAAATGATACCTACTTTGAGTCATTTGGAGTCTTAGGGTAAGCCCTAAACCCTAAACCCTACGTAAGTGTTCTTGGGGGCCGAGGCGGGGGGGTTGAGGGTTCGGTAGTGTGCGCTTTCTGGCGAGCTGTTTCAGATATCATCGCCTCTTTAGGATCCTTAGGGGTTTAGGGTGTAGGGGTTAGTTCTCTAAGTTAGGGTTTAGGTCCCTTTTGGGGTTCCTTAAAGGGATCTATAATCTATAAGGGTTTCCATAAAGGTACTGTAATAAGGGTCTTGTAAGTTTCCTGAAGGCTTATAAGGCTTCTAGAAGGCTTTTAGGGCTTGGGGCTTACGGTTTAGGGTTCGGGGTCGTAGCCTTTCACTGTAGCATGGGGTTGTTGTTGATTTTGTGTGGGCTTCAGCAAAGCCTCCACGGTGGGTGATAGTGTTCCTCGTAGGTAAGAGGCCCCAAACCATAAACTCAAAACCTAAGCTAAACCCTAAACCCAAACGATAAACTCAAAGCCTGAACTAAAACCTAAACTCAAACCATAAACTCAAAGCCTAAGCTAAACCCTAAACCCAAACCATAAACTCAAAACCAAAGCTAAACCCTAAACTCAAACCATAAACTCAAAACCTAAACTAAATCCCAAACCCCCAAAACTCTACACAATGAACCCTCAGGGCCATGAGCTTCACACCAGGATAGCATCCCCCCATAAAAAAAAATAAAACAGGCCAGCGAACCCAATACCCCTCATTTAAGGAATATACCTTACCCTAAGGGTCCGGGGACTCGAATATGAAGGGATTCATGGTTCCATCTCCTGGTGGGGTCTTTGTGCAAGGCCTCCGCTCAGAAGGCTTCGGCTTTTACATAACACATATATATACATATGCTGTATAATGCTCTATATATATATATATACATACTATATATATATACTATATATATATACTATATATTATATATACTATATATATACTATATATATATATACTATATATATAGTATATATATATACATACTGTATATATATATAATACTATATGTATATATATATATAGGGTATATATATATATAGAGCGTATATATATATATAGTATATAGTGTATATATATATAGTATAAATATATAGGCTGGTGGCCCGGGGCGAAGAATATGCACACGAAATAAGAGGACCTCCGAAGCCTGAAGCGAAGACCCATTCTACTCCGAATCCCTGAAACCTAAACCGAAGGCTTGTTTCGGAATCATTTTCCGCCCTCGGACCGCACGAGACTTCTCTCCACCAGCAAGGGCTCGGGTATACCAGCCGACCAACACAGATCGTTCGAGAGTCTGCTGATGAGCCGCCCGCGCAAGCCTCTTGGCCAACTGCATTGCTGCCTCGCCCCTGAAACAGTGCGTCATCCGGGGATTCTGGAGCTCAGACACCGTGTCGATCAAAAGGTGGTGGAATACATGGTGTTTAGGGCGAATTTGCCAAGCCAAACGGCGGTCTCGAATGGCAATCCAAGCGAGCTTCACATATGCTTCCAGATGCTTCAAGCCAGTGTCTCGCAGTTCCCGAGCATCCTTGGTCCCACGAAGTATTTCCCCGAATTCCTCAACATTTAATTATTTTTATAACTGAGGAGACCCATCATTTCAACAGTACAACGGTTCCGATTTCTGCCAAACCGCAGTTGTGGAGAGGTAGCGACCAGCTGTCTCCACTTTGCAATACCAGTCATGCAGATGGAAGAGTGCTACGGCGGCCAGGTGGAGTCGCTGGGTGTTCTTGCTGTCAGCCGCCAGACGGGTTTCATGGGCCAGCCAGCTTGTCACCACCCTTCCATTGAAGGCCTGTCAGGGAATAAGCAGGCCAAGCAGGCAAAGGAATGAATCACACACACGAAACCCACCTCTCGCTGGGTGAAGCTTTAATAAGTTTATATTGACTAAACAACACATAAAGCCCAAAGACCCGATAAGATAAGGGCCTTCGTCTGAAAGTAGCAAAATTCCTCGCCCTTGGTCACCAGCATGTAGGGCTTGAAAGGACTCTGCGAGCACTGGATATTGTTTGCTTTGCACCAATCCTTGAACATAGCATAAGCTGCCGCAAAGCGACTGTGCTCAGATGTTCCTGGGAAATGATTGTGAAGCAAAAGTTCGTGGAGGGCTGAACCATTAGTGTGTAATCCACATCCAAGATGCATGGTGTGCATCGCACACCATCTCAGCATTCGAAAATGGAAGCCAATGGTATGCACCAATGCATTAAAAGTCTTCGCCCTCGGCAGTTGCTGCAAGACGAAGTCCTCGTGGGTTCTGTACGTAGAAAGCCAGGAGGGGTTCGCTGTAAAGTCTTGATAGAGCGGTGCTTTCGTTTTGGAGGCTGCACACATGTGGCATATACCATCGGCCAACCAATTAGACTGCAGGCCCCAGCACTGGAAGTGCCATTTCCAGTCCCCTCTAAGCTCCCAAAGCCTGCAGCGGAAGCCCAAATCACCCGATGCTGCGGATGGGCTGGCCGGACTGTTCCACGGCTGCCCATTGACGTCGCGACTCGGCGTCTTGCCGAGATAGCCTGGGTATTGGGGATTAGGACTTGAGGGTTTGAAGCCTTATAAGGACTCAGTGCAATTAGGGTTCAGGCTTTTAGTCGGGTTGGCGCTTTGGTGCAATTTTATAGATTAGAACAGTAATCCAATTGGCCATCAAGCAGCAACAGTTCAAAGACCAACACAAGAAGGCCCAAACGGGTTCCAGGCACTCCATGTCATCCATACGGTCAGTTCGCAGGGCGAAAACAGAATAGCGAGTGCCCCACACAGAAGTTTTCCGATCATCATAAAGCGGGAAACCTGAGATCTGCACATTGAATCTTGGTACCTGAACCCTCTTGCCAAAATAAAGCCTCTATAGACAGACTCCCAGATGAAAGCCCTTAAAAAGTATAAGCTCCGAGATCAAAACCCTTATAAGCCCCAAAAAGCCGAAATTCCTAAACCGTCAGGCTTTAAACCAGTGAACATAATATGGCATACTTTGGGGGACCGAGCCACTAATGTATATGGCCAATATCTTCTGCTTGGTCTGGGTGTATTCAGCTTCGTCGCCGTAAATGCAGATTGGGTGCACAGTAAAACCATCCTTGAAGTTCCGGCAATTGGAAACACCCGGAGTAGCAACAGCAGAATGATGCTCCCAGAACTTTGTTGCAGCTGTGTCGTCCAGCACCAAGAGTTCATTGCTTATGAGCCAGGGCACCAGCTCGTGAGGTGCAATGATTGGCACTGCAGTAGGCACAACATTGTCCCCGGCTTTGTTTCTCAAAGCAATCTTCACGTGGTGCAGGTGGGGCACCTTGAGGGGTCAGTTAATGCGGCTATGACGGTTTAGGGTTTAGGGTTTAGGGTTTTACCTGCCTTTCTCTAGAGATTAAGGAAATTGAACTGTAGATCAGAATTCAATGCATTTTGCAACCAAGGCCTTTGCATCCAATATAGGTTCTGCTGCTCTCTGCATATCTCGTTTCACATTGCTGAGGAACTTTCCACTCGCACCAGTCTTGGCGAGCCTCTGCACAGCAGCCGGCGTTTTTTTCCCCAGGTCCTGGGCCATTGAGTTGGCCATAACAATCCCAAGCCAGGAAGCAGGAACCCCAAGTAATTGTTTCAGAGGTCGGGGGTGATTCGAAATGACTCGGTTCAGGGCTTCGGTGTTTTCCTTTTCAGGACATAGGACCCAAGGTTGGCAATTATATAAGCTAGACCGTAAGATTGCAATTGCATAGTTGAAACAAGAAGCAAACCTTCAGAAATCCCTAGACAAGTTTGGGCAAACCCTTATCAAGCCTAAGCCCTGCAAAACCCCCAGACCCTTAAACCCTAACCCTAAACAACCCTGCTGGAGCTATAATAGCCCCATACACGTGTACGATTATTGCGGCATGGGGCTATGGGTTCGCTAAACCCTAGGGTTTAGCGATTAGGGCTATTAGGGTTTATAGTTTAGGGTTTAGGGTTTTGGGTTTAGGGATGAAGCTGCGTAGATCTGGAGCCTGCTTCGCTTCAAAAGTTGCAGAGTCCAACAAGTGTCCTCCACCACACATTGTGCCACATCTTGAGCAGCTGAGGAACTCCACTCCTGGCTGCACTGCCGTGGTTTGCTAGATGATGTTCCTTGCCTGCTTTGCGATCAGTGCATAATAAGTTTATAATAGCTAAGCATCGGCAGCCCCCACTCCAGCAAGCAATCGGCGAGCCAGCGAACTTGTCACATCGTCATCTGCGTGGGCTAAGTGGGCGGTGCAGGGGAATTCAGGGTTTAGGTTTTAGGGGAATTCAAGGCTTAGGGTTTCAGTATGGGAATGGAGGCTTGGGATGGAGGCGAATCTTCGAAATTGAGTGGCTTCGACTGTCGACTTATGTAGATAAGTCGGCGGTGCAGGGGAAGTCAGGGTTTAGGTTTTAGGGGATTTCAAGGCTTAGGGTTTCAGTATGGGAATGGAAGCTTGGGATGTAGGCGAATCTTCGGAATTGAGTGGCTTGGAATGTCGACTTAAATTATGTAGATAAATGGGCGGTGGAGGGGAATTCAGGGTTGTGGTTTTAAGGGATTTCAAGGCTTAGGGTTTCAGTATGGGAATGGAGGCTTGGGATGTAGGCGAATCTTCGGAATTGAGTGGCTTCGAGTGTCGACTTATGTAGATAAGTGGCCGGTGGAGGGGAATTCAGGGTTGAGGTTTTAGGGGATTTCAAGGCTTAGGGTTTCAGTATGGGAATGGAGGCTTGGGATGCAGGCGAATCTTCGGAATTGACTGGCTTCGACTCTCCACTTATGTAGACAGATCGGAACTTTTTGCAGCGGCGAGGGTAGCATCAAAACCATCCTGCCTCCGGATCTAGCTGCCAGCACTAGCGACAGGTTCCGGAGGATCCTAGGGGATTGTAGCCCACGTTGCAGCAATCTGCACAAGCCTTCGTGTCTCTAACTTCTAAGCCGGAACGTATTCGCAACTATCAGCAGGAACCACCCCCCTAAACCCTAAACCCTAAACCCTAATATCCCTGGAAGATCAGTAGTGACCTCTATTGGGGTTGGAGACTTGGTGTCAGTAGAATCCTATGCAGATCACTGCTCCGCGTAACACCAAAAACTTCTGTGCCCTGATTTTCTAGGGCTTCTTGGCACCTTTCTTGGGTTGCTTCGCCTTTGGCTTTGACATAGACATGGCTCGCCTGAGCGGGGCCACCTGGTTGTCGTACTGCTTAAATGCTTCTGCCACCCTGTCATTGCAGGCTGACAGCCTGTCCTCGGGCACCTTCCCAATGCTGCTTTGCAGCTCCTGCATAGCGGCTTTGAGTTCCTCGATCGGCTTAGCCATGTCCTTGACCATCGCTTCGGCATAGGTCGCCGTCCTGATATGTACCAGGTTTAGGGTTGAGGGTTAGGGTTTATGGTTCAGGGTTCAAGGACAAGAGGTGGCCTCAAAGGACTTTAGTGTTTAGGCTGCAGGGTTTCGTGACAAGTTGGGTGATTATGGCTTCGCGGAAACGAGATGTGAACCTAAACCCTAAAGTCTAAAGCCTTTTTTTTGATGAAGGTCTCAATCCCTCTACATATATATATATATATGTAGAGGAAATCTACTAAATGGTTGCACTCGGGTTTTGGGGCTTAGGGCTTAGGGTTGTTTTCAGGACCTGGCACAAATAATCATCGGGTTTAGGGTTGAGGGTTTAGGGCTTAGGGCTTAGGTGCTACCAAAAAAACCGAAGTGCTAACCCGATCCTCCAAACCCTATAAAGACCCCAAACCCCGAATACTGCATAGTTACGATCGCTTTTTTTGTGTCGAGCTGCACATTGTTCTCGATCAGCTGCTGCAGCAGCGAGTCTGCGTCCACGATTTTCAAAGCCCCCTTGGAAACATGATCCTTGGCTTGGTTGCCAACGGTCTTTCCCTTTGCTGCCTTCTTCTCCGCTTTCGGGGGCAGCTTTTCGCCATCCTCCTTGTTGTTGTTCGCATTCCCAGCACCGCCCAGCACGGCCGCCCTTAGTAGACTACTGGTTGTCTACTTAAACTAATTAATTTAAGTACTGTTCAAAAAGTTAGGATAGCATGTTATGCAAACAAGAAACCCCACCCTGGCAGCAGCAGGCCCTGTAAAGGAGGCCCCCATCTCGAAGATTCGCTCCTCCTCGGAATCGGACTCCTCCGTCTCTGCCTTGCTGTCGAAGACACGAAACATCTGCCAGTCCTGCGAAGTAGAAGGCTTTCGGGCACTATCTATATGGTTTAGGGTTTCTAGGATCGGGTTAGCACCTAGGTTTTTTCTTTTACTTTGTAGCACCTGCTGTGGATTGTATTTGGCTAATCTCCAGAAACCCTGGCATGGTCTCAGTCCTCCCGTTCAGGCAAATCGGGGTGGAGCATCCAATGGCGCCCCGTGCATTGGGGATCCACCTCCATTTTATGGAGTTTAATGGCGGAGGCGGTGCCCTCGCCAGTCCTTGTGGGGAGAGACAGATGTTGTAAAAAAAATTCTAGATTTCTTACTGGCTTATTCAGAGCAACACAAATACTATGAGGATCTAAGCGAGGCACTCCGAGACGAGGTCGCAGTACTTCTTCCATACGAATTTCCCCCTCCTCCTCTTGGCCGTCTTCGAGCGAGCATTCACCACTATGCTCGACTCCATCCACTCCTCGTTGGCACTGGTCCACACCTCGAAGGTGTCTCAGCACCTTCCGTCCTCCTTAAAATTCCAATCGTTTTTGGAGACACACTGCAGTCGATTATACTAGGTCTCGAACTGAAGCATTTAGGAGAATGGGCAAGCGACGAGTTTTGTTCCCCTGGCCCGGAACAAATGCCTTCGCCACCACTTCCGGAGGGCACTCTGGGTGTCCTGGGATTGAGCCAGGGATTTTAAGGCTTAGGGGTATTTAAGGCCTAGGGTTATAATTTCTGGGGATTCCAGGTAAACTGCGGCTATATTCAATGATCCTTTCGACTCCCATTCTGGGTGTCTTCGGGGTTTCTTATAAGGTTTAGGGGCGTGGTCAAGTTTCCAAGGTTTGTAAGTGGATCAGAGCATTAATCTCAGGATCGTCATAAACCCGAAGAAAACTAAAAACCGATGTATGTGAAGGCCTTCGGGGCGTACATTATTTTCAGGGTTTTCCCGTAAACCCAAAACCCTAAAGCCTAAACCCCTATACACCTAATAACCCCCTAAACCCTAAACTGAAGCATCCCTCAAGATGAATCTGCGAAGCCCAGTGTGCGACTGCCCTGGCCCCACAGCCCAGGCTGCGAGCTTCGTGCGGGGCACTGCTTTGGATTCTCGGCAGAGAATCTGTATTAAAAGTGGGGTTTAGGCTCTAGCGGTTATCAGCACGTGCCCAACACGACGGCGTAGACGAAAGTTTCGGTGCTGAGGCATAGGATCGCATTTTTTGACACATAATGGGGTCCGGGGATATACATGTATTATATATATATATGTACTTACATGGAGATTTCTGTTGTTCGGGGTTGTGTTCACGACTTCGTTCAGGCCAGGCTTCCTTGGGTTGCCTTCAGGGTACACTTGTTTGAAAAGAGGATAAGCTCAAGCAACCCCAGAGAACCACCCCAATAAAATCGTAACCTTGATCCCCAATCTGACAGTCCCTAATTATTATGTAAAACCCCGAGGCCCTGAGACGAAACCTGGAACTCTGGAAATACTCAACCTTCAGACCCTCTTATTATCATTTAGGCCCAACACTGAAATACACGAAACCCAAACCCGAACTCCCAACGAAACTCGCTATAATTAAATAATATAATACGTGTATGTGTATATATATACACATACACTACTATTTATATAAATATATATATATATATATTCTATATATATATATTATGAAGACCCAAATAACAATTCAGGACCATTGGTCTAGATATACTACTCGCCTTGCAGTAGTACCTAGTGCTAGCAGAAGCAGAAGCATGCGAAGATTCGCTTTGGCAATGGCAGCACAGTACTAGTAGTAGTCGTAGTAGTCGTCCAAGTAGTAGCAGTAGCAGTAGCAGTAGCAGTAGCACCAGTAGTAGTAGTGGTGGTAGTAGTAGTAGTAGTAGTGTTATTATAAGCAGTATAGCATTGTACACTCCTACTAGTACCTAGTAGTATTAGTATGTTTCGCGTGCCCAGAGTCGCAGACTTCGGCTGTACCGCATCCAATCAGCATGGGCTTTCTTCCTCAGTCGCTCCTTTTCCTCCCTGAGCTGTCTATCCTCCTCGGTCTCCTCCTTTGCGGGAGCTGCTGCCTTGGCCTTTGCTTCTGGTGCAACAGCAGCTGGGCACGTAGCCTTCGGATCGGGTGCAGTAGTAGCGAGGGACGGAGCTGGGGATGTGGCCTTCGGATCGGGAGCTGGGGATGTGGCCTTCGGATCGGGTGCAGTAGTAGCGACGGAGGGAGCTCGGGATGGGGCCTTCGGATCGGGTGCAGTACTAGCTTCGAGGGACGGAGCTGGGGATGTGGCCTTCGGCTCGGGTGCAGCAGCAGGTGCGGCTGCAACAGCAGCTGGGGGAGAAGGCTTCGGCTCGGGTGCAGCGGCAGGTGGCACTGCAACAGCAGCTGGTGGAGAAGCCTTTGGCTCGGGTGCGGCGGCAGGTGGCACTGCAACAGCAGCTGGTGGAGAAGCCTTCGGCTCGGGTGCGGCGGCAGGTGGCACTGCTCGGAGAGAAGCCTTGGGATGGGATGCAGCGGCAGCTGGGGCTGCAACAGCAGCTCGGGGTGGGAGAAGTGTGCTCGGGTCCTCGCCGGACCCCATCTTCGAAAGAAGCATGTTGAGCATCCTTTGGGTGTCGTCCAGTTGTCGCTGCAACATCGTGACACGTTCGTCTTCAGCCGGCTCGGTTGTAACCTCCATGGGTGCTGGCGGCGGCACGGCAGCGGGGAGAGTGGGAGCTACCGGGGGGCACACATTCATCGCCGAAGCCATGAGTGCCGGGGCCGTGGCGGGAGTCGGATGGCAAACTTCCATCGAGGAAGCTTGTGGAGGTGTGGCAGGCGACACTTCCATGGGACATGTTGCAGGAGCCGCCTCAGGGACCTCTGGAGGGGGGGGAGCCTGGCTTGCATCCTCCTCATAGAGCTGCTTTTCCAGCTCATCCATCACTCGATCCTCATACTCCTGATCAACCTGTTGGTTTTGGATTTAATACATGGTACCAGTTAGTACAGTAAAGAAGTAATTGAAATTAGCATAAGAATTCAGGAAGAGAGATATATATAATATTACATATATATATATTGTATATATATATATACACATCATTTTATTTAAGCATTATCAACATATATATATATATATCTAGCCATACCTGTAAGTCTTTATAAGGAGACCCTCCAGCACACGGCAAAGGAGCCCATTTCTGCTGTCTAATTACCCTTATATAGAACCCCTGTCGAACATAGCAGCTAGGGTGCAAGTCGCTTCAAGATAGCTAATAATAATCACACTCTTGCTAGAAAATCCTACAGCTAGCGGTCGGGCAGGATTTAAGGGTTTACTGTTTATGGTTTAGGATAAGACCAACCTATAGTCGTTACTATATTACACTACACCCGGCCAGCACCTGTGTCTCCATCTGCGTGACATCAGGAGCCCTGGTCGGCTCCGGCTTCGCCGCCTCCGGCCTCGCCGGGGCTGCCTTCGCCTGCTCGACTTGCAGACTCTAGGGGCTCCAGCTTTTTTTTTAAATAGTATGCTATGATATACATTCGGGTTGCTAGGGCACCCTAAACCCTAAACCCTCAACCCTAAACCCCTAAACCCTAATTAGAAACCCTAAACCCTAAACCCTTATAAGACCCTTAAGCCCTAAAGGTTGCGGCTTCCTAGCTTCGCGTGTAGGGATGAAGTTTTCGGCTTTGGTTGAGGTTGGAGTCGTGGGCTTTCGGAGGGGAAACGGCAAGTCTCATGTGGGGCTCAAAGTTATGCAACGAGGGGTCGTCGTGGTTTCAGGGTTGAGCCTTGCATTATATGTGTACCTTCGTCTCATGGGACTAAAGCAGGCTCCAGCGGTTTCAGGAAGCTTTGTTTCAGTTGTGGTTTGTAGGGGTTGAGGCAGGAGGGTCACGGTTACGGACCTGTTTTCATTCGGGTTGCTAGACTCTTCTTATAGGGTCGGGATGAGGCTTCCTAAGGCTTCGGCGGCTTCGGATCAGGTTGGACTTCTGCCGTGTAAAGGCCAGACCCTCACTAATGGACCCAGCCCCAAGCCGAAAGTGCCAGGCAAGCCTTAAAAGCTCTAAGGATTCTAGTACATGTACTTATTCAGCCTCATATAAGCAACTATATATTCGTAGTAGCATAAGCCCTATTAGTCTCTCGATCCTTGATCATGAAGCCACACCAATCCGAAGTTGAAGACTCCAGGATTCCTAGGGATGAGCCTATAGCAACCACCCCTCCAGAGCTTATGGGCTATATTAATTGCATATAGGCGAGGGTTTAGGGTTCCTAAGTCATGGCTCCCGACAGCAGGACTAGGGTTAAGGACAGGGTACAAAAGCGGAATCCAGGGTCCAGCCTGAATATATAAGGGTCCTTTCAGGGATACAAAAGTACGTCCTGCAGTATGGTTGCATAAATCGGAGCGAGGCTTGATGGGTGTATCGACTTGGGTTTTCTTTTAGGATTAGGTTCTTAAGGGCCCAGCAACCTCGATTCCCCTTTCCAGCTCCATCGTGGATCCTCCAGGGGGTCTCGGTATGAGGACCTATACCTAATTATTTAGCGATATATCAGGGTTTCGGTTCAGGTGGGTTAGGGTTTAGGCGAAGATCCTCCAGCGGGTCTGAGCATGCAATAATATATATATATAAGGGTTTACGGCTTGGGGGTTTATTAGGAGGTTTCGGCATAGATCCTCCGTGGATCCTCCAGGGGGCATTCTATCAGGACCTAAGCGATATATGATCAGGGTTTGGCTTTAGGGGGGTTAGGGTTTAGGCGTAGATCCTCCAGCGGGTCATAAATGTGCTTCGATATATATTCTTTTTGTTAGGGCTTAGGGGTTTATTAGGAGGTTTCGGCGTAGATCCTCCGTGGCTCCTCCCAGGGGTCTTTGTATGAGGACCTTATGATGTAATTAGGGGTTAGCCTTTAGGGGGTTAGGGTTTCGGCGTAGATCCTCCAGCGGGTGTTTCTATCAGGAACAATGTATATTATAATTACAGAAAATGGTTTAAGCCTTAGGGGTTTGTTAAGGGGGGGGGGTCTTTCTGTCAGGACCTTGGAACAAGCCGAGGGTTCAGGGTCTAGGATTTATTAATTAGGGTTCAGGCTTTAGGCGTAGATCCTGCAGGGGGCCTTTAAAAAAATTATGAGGACCCAGGCGGACCCAAAGCCCTGCCATGAACTTGAAAGAGTGGGAGTTCATCGGGTCCTCTGTTTAAATCCAAAGCATCGAGGTTGATGTCGATGGTGGACTGCGAGTCCAGGTGTCTCGGCTTGCCACTGGCAGAGCTTGCAAAGCTTGGCAACCTAGGCAAAGAGTCCTGCGAAGCCAGTGAATCTTTGCTTTCCCGATAGGTCAGCTTGCTCTTCTTGCAGTCCGGTTCAGGGATCGGGGTGCTCGGTGGGGGCTGAGGAGTCGGGGCAGCCTTTGGCTCTAGGGTGAAGACAGCAGGAGCC